CATGATGTGAGATATTTGTACGAACTATATTATGAGGCGTCTTTCTATTGTTTGCCGGAATTAGTGAATGCGGTTTTAGGAAAAATCGAACAGTGTAGTGTTGTTTCTGCGAATCTGGTGCCTTTAAAGGCCCATAAACTGGGATGAACCAAGTTACAGATCATGTGAAATCGAAATGTGTGTATAAAAGTGATGTCACTTTAAATAAGATAAAGATATAAAGAGTGAATAAGTTACACTTAAAGTGTGTTTTGGAGAAAACTGTTGTGCTAATTTAATATTCAGAGTGATAAAGTGAAAAGAGACACTTAAATGACAGTATCGTGAATATTTGTTGCTTTGTTGATTTTATGTCTTGTTTGTTTTATTCTTATGATATTTGACATTTAAATTATATAAATATAAAATATATATAGATTTATGAAACATAAGGTTCTACGCTATGCATAATTGTAAGTATTCATTGTTATGTATTAAGTTATTTCTCATTATGCAATGAATATGATTAAGAATCCAAAGATAATCTTAAAATGTATGTTGCTATGTTTACTACTTTAATCAGGACTTACAGCATTTCTTGTTACTTTTGTGAGGTAAACTTAATATGTTTAAAAGTTCTGATATAGATCTATGTTTTAATGTACATTTTAACTGTGTAAATAATATTGTCATATGAAATATTTATATTATTTGATCGGTATCATTAAGATGTGCTTGTTACATAATTAGAGGAAATGATATTTTGTTCTTAAGATTGTTTCTATTGCTTTAAAATTTTCTACCTATTAATTAAATTTTGGAGACCAAAACTTAAGTGGTTGGGGGCAATGTAACGAACTGATATTCAGTAGCTTTTATAATCCCAAAATGCCTTGAACCTTGTTTATCATTTCATTTGTTCGTTACCCCACCCACTATTTTTATAAAGCAGGTTATTAAATGTGCTAAATCATCCTATTGTTGATATTGGTTAATTTTAGATAATAAATCACATTTTGTTGTCTATGTATGATATGTATGTTTATTTTCAGATTAATGTTTTACTGTGCACTGCGATATTTTATCGGAGTATTCATGGAAATTTTGTGTTCAAAATCGGCAACGTTGAGTCCTCTGTAATATGCTGATTACTTCCACTAAACCGTATAAAACTCTTAAATATTCATATATACGGGAAATAAAGTTGAAGAACGCACTGTTTGTGCAGCAAATTGTGTTTATAAAAGTAAATATTGCATGAAATCATCAAAAGAATGTGTATTTTTAATTTACTTCCGTGTTCAGAACCGCCATTAGCTCGCGCCACTAAATCTCGAGCAATGACGTCACAGGTCATATAAAAGCGCAGCTGACGCGAAATTCAAGACAATGTCGAACATTGACGGCATTCATACGGTCACTCTGGGTTAAATAAAAATATACCAACGGGTATATACCAATTTATAAAAAAATGTGCGATGAAGAGGTAAAGTTATACCAACCAAGTTTTATTAAATAAAGTGTTTCCCTTGTCTCCATCTCCTGTGTATTTTAATCGCGCGATACCAAATACCAACTGAAATCGAATACCAATACGCGGTTGTGCTATAATATTTGTTGGTATATTTGTGAAATATTTATGAATTATTAAAACAAAGTGTGTATGGTATATACCAACATATATAGAGTCTATATGAATTATATTAAATTATATTAAGAACATATTTGTGAATATTTGATAGAATACCAATATTGGTATAATTTTATCTGGTATCGATACCAGTTGATGCCAACAGAGGTTTTACTTGGATTTTGTGTGCTAGCTCTACCTAGAACTTAAATTCGTGATGATTAGGTGATGATGCAAATCTTTATACATGTATTTTAAATAATCCTATAATTAATTTGAACGTCAGTGTTATAATTATTAACATTAATACCAAATACCAATTGGTATAATTTGGTAGCGAACACGTTATCGAGTCAAAGATGATTGATAAACGGCAATAATATACATTTGATGATATTGGTATCGTGATACCCGGCTAGTGTTAATAATAACGGAAAAGTGATTATTGTTACCTGTATATTCTCTAAATAAAGATTATTTCTTAAAGTGCGTAATTTAGTGATTTCGCGAGTGTAGTGAAATTGTGAACATTATTATTAGTGTATTTTATTTCTTAAAACCGTGGTGCACAGTATATAACGTTTTGCATTTTGAATTGGTATTATTGATGCAGATTAAATAACGTTATAATATATTTATTGTTACTGTATTTATGTCTGATTGATGAACGTTGTTATATGTGACTATTTTATGTAACCGTTAATAAAGTTATAGTTTAAATCTTAAATTGCCTCCGTTATTTTATTCTTTAATCATTCTCTATTATTTTCGCCACAAGCCAGGCCCAGGCGAACTCACGTAACACCCCTTTTAGAGTTAACAGGCCAACGCTCGAAGAAGGGGTTCGTTACAAGTGTTTGCTGGGAATTAAGTGCTTATTGGTTTTGATTTTTAAAAAGGGAAGACAGAATATAAAGGCAAACCTCTTGAAATTGTTAAAAAGTTTACATATCTTGGAATAGTTGTTACTGCACAGGTGGATTTTTAATATGACTTTATAAAAACATTCTTTACAGACATTAAAGGCATATCATCAACTTGAGACAAAATAAAATCTAATACGAATTTCTAGCATCTCATACATATCTCTTTAATAAACTAATTTTACCTGTTCTAAATATTGTAAAGTCAAGTCGCACAAAATAAGCGTAAAATTGTGTATGACCGACCTTGTGTTGAGATCAAGAACTAAAACCAAACGCGTCTTGTAATTGATATTTTACAGTTCATTGATATTCTTTAAAGATATAAATATAATTTAAATTTTAATATGCAATTCTTCCGCAGGTTGCCGCCTTTATCTTAGCAGTGTTTATTAGCCAAAATTATAGTTTTGTAGGGATTGAGGTTTTTATGTTTGTTTGACATTTATGAATATTAAAGTAAATCACATAAGTGTTCATCAATGAAAACCTTTAGAATGAAAACAAAGAAAGCATGAAATCTAACGACCAAAAAGTAATGTTTCAATGTTTAATGCATGATAAGATTGAGTTTTTGGAAAAAAAAGAATGATTCTTTATTCGACGTCACGATTACATTTGAAAAAGAAATGCGCGACATTTTCAATCACAAAAAATGTTGACAAAAATGATCTTCTCTCAAATGATTATAACATAAATCGATTTTCGTTTTAAATTACTGCAATTATTTCTTACATGAAATACAGACTAGTATCTCTGGCCATGAAGAAAGTATTGATGAACAATTGTTACTTTAGTACAGGCTTTAAACTTAGAATAAAGAAGGTTTATTTTTGGAGAGTTTCATATGTCTAGTCGAGGTTATTCCATATTTATTAGAAGGATGCTTGGTATAATGATGGTAGTAATCCATTTTGGCCTTATAAACAATAACAAGTTTTTACATTTTTCGCCTGTGAAAGAGTCAAACCAAACCGACATCTTTACCAAGCAATGTATTGATACTGATCGAGTAACGCCCGTCATAATTATAGCGGTATTGTAATTTCTAAACAGATTGTTCTTTTAATATATAATACCATTGGTGCATATCCCACTAACGCATAAAAGATACATTTGGTTTAGATCTCTTGGATCGAAATACTAAAGCACGCATAGAACCTAATACTTTTGAGGCCTGAGATAAAGTAATATCAATGTGTTCGTGTCATTTCCAGTCGCAAAAAATATTTGTCTAAGTGCTTGTGATCATCCGCGTATTCAAGTGAGCTGTCATAATGATATTCATGGTCTCAAGGAAAAAACATAACTTTTGTTTTATTTGAGTTAGAATTAAAGAAAAATTGTTAAGACCATTTATTATAGTTTCAAGGTAGATTATTAGTGGAAACAAAGAAAGAGCAATCTTCAGCAAAACTGTCTTGATACGCTAAGAAGATTTTCAGCAATTTCGTTCACATAAAATGAGTAATAAAAGGGGACCAAGGGCTGAGCACTGCAGGGCACCCGTTTCTATATTTAGTTCTTCAAAACATTTATGACTTACTAAACGTGATTGTTTACAATAAGACAAATAATTTGAAATCCATTTTCCCTACCATATTGTTTCAGTTTGAAACTTAGGCCCGAATTTGATATGTCAAGAAGACAATGTTTGTCGCCGATTTTTTTTTCAAATCGTTCTCAAATTTGATGACACATGTCCATGAATTGATATATTGAGTAATGGCCGAAAGAAACTCTGATTATAACGGATATATCAATCAATTTATAAAATATTTATATATGTCTAAATCTCATCCTTTTCATGACATTTACAATGCAGCTTATAAGTGATAAAGGTCTTTAATTTGATCGCACTTCTTGAAAAGGGACGTAGCTTTTTCGAGTTTCCATAATGAGTTTGTGTTCACATGTATTTCGTAAATAAATAAATACAACCACTTAAACTCACACCTAAAGATAAGAAAATATTAGTATCCAGACTTTTGCAGATATTTCTAAGCTTAATTATTTAATATAATTAAATTTTTTTCATATCATAAACTTTTGCAGATATTTCTAAGCTTATTTATTTAATATAATTAAATGTTTTTCATAGCATAAACTTTTGCAGATATTTCTAAGTTTAATCATTTAACATAATTAAATGTTTTTCATATCATAAACTTTTGCAGATATATTTAAGTTTAATCATTTAACATAATTAAATGTTTTTCATATCATAAACTTTTGCAGATATTTCTAAGCTTAATCATTTAACATAATTAAATGTTTTTCATATCATAAACTTTTGCAGATATTTCTTAGTTTAATCATTTAACATAATTAAATGTTTTTCATATCATTAACTTTTGCAGATATTTCTAAGCTTAATCATTTAACATAAATTAATTGTTTTTTCATATCATAAACTTTAGCATAAATGGGGTTCAAGCATCTTTAAGTGCATATACTCGCATACTTACAATGAATAACTCATAGATGTTTGAAAATGAAGCATTGTCCCATTTCAAATACTCGTCGACCCATGCACAACTTAAAAAGCCAGATATTTTCAAACTTTCTTCTTGTTCATCGAAATCGATAACAGCTGAAAAATATATGACATATATGACATCAATTCCTGTTGACATTTAATGAAATCAACCATGCTTATTTTTTAAAAATATTTTTACAGTATTTATTTTATCACATGTTCACGTGACTGTTTATTATTATTTATTATTATACAAATGTATTTGTCTCGTGTTTTTGTATTGTAATGCAAACTGGGATATTTATTTTATGCTTTTCAATGGATTACTGATTTATCCGTGAAAATTATATTTGGTAATTTCACAGTGAAAATTATCAAAATATAATTTCACTTTTTTCAATGACGAAACTACTTTTTTAAGATTTTCCCCATGTGGTACCTCAATTTTATTTTTTCTGACAATTCTGACAATGTCAGGCTGTTTAAAGAAAAAGCAAAGCTGAAATTGATAAATACCTTAAACGTCAAAAGTAATAAAAAGAAGAAAACTTACTTCTATTCATTCAAATTCCAATCACCAAATTTCGTCTCTAAATTTTTGTTTCATTTTTACAGTCTGAAAAATACATTCCTTCCACATGCAAACTGCTCTTGATGACATTTGGGCATATTAAAGTATCCTACGAGTAATAACTGCCGTATGCTTAAGAAAAATTGAAAAGCAATGACAGCTACAGCTCGTAGAACAAGTAAACCACCCAGCATTCCGAGCAAGTTCCAAGTCTTCCATTTTTATAGCTGCTTTTTTCATGTTTTCACATCTGTCAACACTTATTTTTTGTCTGTTTCAATCCTCAAATATGTTTTCTTTCTTTTAAAAAGGTGTATGACTAACAATTCCAAATGATATCCCTCTGAATCAAACACAATTATTTTCCTCCCGTGAAATACACAACTTCAAAAAATGGCTGCCGCTTACATTTAACAAAGCCAGGTCTAATATAAATTCGCAGTAAGTAACAGAAATATGGATGGATGGTTGGAATTTTCTCCTACACGAATAGTTTGTTTTTATTATTAAAACAAGCGATCATTCATATTTTTTAAACAAAATAAATAATATCACTGTCATTTAATGTTGATTGTCGGACTTATTTTTCAGTTCAAGACTTCTTGTTTTTAATGAGAAATTCGCACGAAATGAGGCTCTCAATGGGGAAACAGATTTTAATATTTATGTTAATATTATGGAAATTTCGTTTAAACTTGTTTTTTAGCATAAAATAAAAAGAAAATTTGTTTGTTTGTTGTGTAACATGTAATTTTATTTCATCTCGTGAACTTTAAAAACAGTATTCTCACTCGTGGCTACGCCACTCGTGAGAATACAGTTTTTAAAGCCCACTCGATGAAATAAAATTTCATCTTACACACAAACAAACAAATATCCTCTATATATTCAATAAAACTTGAAACTTGATTGATCTGTTAGAAATACAATGTATATACATGTATTACCAGAATGAAAGTGCCAGATAGAGAAACATTAAATTGGAACAAAATTTGATAGATAGATAGATAGATAGATAGATAGATAGATAGATAGATAGATAGATAGATAGATAGATAGATAGATAGATATATATAGATAGATAGATAGATAGATAGATAGATAGATAGATAGATAGATAGATAGATAGATAGATATATATAGATAGATAGATAGATAGATAGATAGATAGATAGATAGATAGATAGATAGATAGATAGATAGATAGATAGATAGATAGATAGATAGATAGATAGATAGATAGATAGATAGATAGATAGATAGATAGATAGATAGATATGGATGGATGGGTCGGTCGGTTGGTATATGGATGGATGGATGAATGGAAGGACGAACGGACAGTAATAATGTGGCTACACAATTGTTCTCTCTATTGTTCTTTTTAGCCACACAAAAGAAAATAGCCACATAAAAGCATTACGGAATGAATGACATCAAAGAGTAAGATTAGTTACTAATTGTCCCTCTAGCAACATTATTACTGTCCCGTGAGAGCGGACGGACAAATAAATAGATAATGATTCAATATTATAGTTATATAATAATTTATGAAATAAGTACTCACAGTTAAGGAAATAGTCCACTCTAATTTCTATTGCAGTTGTTTGGTCTTTCAGAGGCCGCACTTTTTTATTGTAACCTTCAGTAGTGAATAAATGAGTTAACAGTGCACTCACATCCGCACCACTGTAACAATATGTCAACATGGGAAAAGACATGAAAAACAGTAACAAACTTGTCCACAGTCTATAAACATTCATATTTGATATTCACTTGACGGTAAGTTGATCGGAGGAATATTGGCAGATTATATTTTGCATAGACTTTTCAATCAATTACACCAATATTCTCTTAGTATCCACATCACAACAGCAAGATTACTAAAAAATATGTTGACTGATTTATTCATTAAATATGTTTTATTGATACTATAATCAGTTAAATACCGTCGGGATATGTTAACTTTCTATTTTCGTAGGTTATCATTGGTGCGTTCTACTTCGGACAAAGCAAAGTTGATTACCGTGTCGGTAAAGAAAAGAAACCTGTGACCTATTGTTTAATTTTCCAATTATAAATGTGCTAAAAATCAATGGCGTTTCTTAATTCCTTTCTCATATTTCAAATAATAATACTGAGGTCATTAACTAGTAGCTAATGAACAATTTAGCGCACTTAATGATCATATAGTTTATTAATCTGTTATTTTCCTGTTGCTTATAAAAATGATCAATTCATTTTAATTCAATGTGTTGTTATAGGGTTATCCTTCACAACATACTTAAATGAAAATTGCAGACTCGGTTTGATTGAGTCTGTACATGAGGGATAATGAATACGTGCAACATCCCTCACGCCCCCTAGCACAGACTTGAGCGGTTCTCAATTTTCAACACTTAAAAGTTCTTGAATCAATGATCCTAAAAGACCAGGAAAATGTAACAACACTGTAGCGAAGAACAAGGTATTTTTTTACAGCTGCCACACGGCACTTGACATCTTCTAGATTATCGATTAGGTGGTGCATACGCAGCTTGTAAGTTGTATTGTACAGAAAGTTATAGGGCCAGTGCCAACTTTTTTCAGGTTTGGGGATTGAAATAAAAAAGTTTCTTTCGATCTGTTATGAACTTCAAAAAAAATACCCAAACGTTAAAAATATTTAATGAAATAATTTAAGAAATTGACGTTGATGATGATTCGTGTACTCAGGGGCATTATTAGACACAATTATACTTGTATTTTTTATTACAGAATGTTGCCTCCTTTTTCTTGCTATAATGGCAGAAGATTCTATACTTCAATTGCCAGAGTTCCTGATAACAAACATTGGCAACATCAAAATCTCAAAATTCTGAAACCTTGGAATCTGAAAAAGGAAAAGAAGTAACAAAATTACTTAAAATTTCAAAATTTGAATCAAGAGTAAAGATTTTAATTTCATATTTTAAAGACTCAATAGGGACTTACATACGCACATAGATGAAGTGAGACTTAATAGCTACGATTTTATGTTATAGTATTTTTCTTTATTCACAACAAGAAGCTACATTTGCATTTTAACACTTCTTGCTATCTTCACATCGATAATTTTCATTTTGATCAAATGGTTACTAGAATGTATTAAAAAACTTAAATTGAATAGAATAAATTATTTAGACATCATTTCAATTTTTTTTATTTAACCATTTCTATAATTTCTCTTATACATGTATAAGTGTTTATTATAACAATTATGAGCACGTCCCTTCTCCTCTTTTCTCCGACCTTGTGGTCTCTCCCGTTTTTGATTGGGTGCCTTCTGAGAAGTGTGATTGAGTTGTGCCCGGGGCTGTGTTCGTTGATCGTCGCCTGATTGGGTTGTGTCCGTCAACTTGCTTTGTTGCTGGGAGATAATCCACCAATTATTATGTGAGCAGTAGAAAAACACTCGTTCATAACAGAACAGATCTTTTATTTCTGATTTGTACATAGTACATCATCATATACATAACATAATAATATTTGAGTAACATGTAATTTTCAGTGCAATCAATATAAAGAAATTAATATAATAAATAATATAAAGATGATTAATAATTGTAATTGTAATAATTGTCATTGTTCAGATATTTGTTATTAAGCTCCTCAGTTAAGTGAGGATGAACATATTTAAGAAGAAAAATCAATATCAAAACTAACGTTTAATCTATCATTAAACTTTATTTTTTAATTAAACTAAATTTTGATCTATCATTGAACATTATTTAAACAACTGTAGTTCTAACAGTCGTAGCATTTTTGTAAATATAGTGCTAATAATTTACATAGCTCATTTCTATTATTACTTTGCAGCAATGCAATAAATTTGTACATAGTTACTTGGGTTAACAAAATAATATCTTTTAATATAAAGGGTACGAATACTTGTATAACATGGACATATAAGAACAAAATGAAACTCATCTTCTAAGTCTCTTAAAGAACAACATTGACAATACCGTTCATTTCTTTGTATTCTATTTCTAGCATATCTACCAGTTTGTATGCAGAAGCTCTTAATCTAGTAATAAGTCGTCTCAAATGATCAGGCAATATATCTAAATAATTTTTCGTAACAAAAACTAAAAGAATCAAATAGTAGTAGTTTATTCTTTTATTCCATAAGGCAATATGCCCATGATGGCATTACAAGCATGTTATAAATGGCGAACAATGACAAGTAAAATGTACCTTAAACATCAATAATTGGAGAAGTTCGAACATGAATATTACAAACATAAGAACATACACACCACACGCGCGCACGCATTCACGCTCGCACGCACGCACACACACACACACACTCACGCGCATATATATATATATATGTACATACATATTAAGTTTTACGGATGTAATGCGCAGATCATATTGATATACATGTATTCATAAATTATATTTGATACATTAAACCGATCTCAGTCATTATTGTCTAGAAACGACCTCCATATCAAGCTATTGGTCTTGACGAGACGAAATTCAAGACCAATATTAAGGAGATATCGTAAGTATTTCATAAGTATTTCACTTTAATATTTTCATTAAAGTAATAATACTTAACATTTAATAAGGATGTAATCTTAAAATGCATCGAGAGTTGGAGAGAAAAAAAAATTATAATTAATTGTATCTACGCATTACTTCCGTACAACACATTATTTCAATAATAATAATAATAATTGTATTATGTATTACTTCCGTACAACACATTATATTTCGTTTTTCAAAAGCTTTAGATACATAAATTCAAGTTTTACTAACAATTTTTACATTTTCTATTGTTAACAATTCAATAAATTTAATCATGTTTGGATGCTTCCCAATATCTTTTATGTATATAATATATTTTCCTTAAATCAGTGTACAATGAACATTCAAGAATAAAAATGAATTATTCGTCTTCTAACATATTACATTATAGTACATTTTCTTTCATCAATTGGTGTTCTTTATGGTCTAGTCCATCTACCCTGCCTCTATTTGCAATCTGTGAGAAGACACTCTTAATCTTATCAATGAAAAAACAAAACCTTATTAACTGTAATGTGATCTAGATATTCTTGAAACTTGAAAACCTGCTATATTTCTATAAAATAATGCTCGTGGTGAACTTTGTATCCTATCATGCCAGTTTTGAAACAAAATTATCTTTCAATCTTTTTTTACTAATTCTAGAAATATGTCTGCATTTCCTACATTTTGTTGTAACCAAACTTCATAAAAACCTAAAACACATAATACATTTTTTCAATCGTGAACACCAATTAACTTTAGTTGGATTATTTTCAAAATCGTTCTTAAGCAAATTGATATATCTTATAAATGTACCTATTCTCGTTACTTCTTAAAATTTTTTATCCAGTAAAAAATTTTTTTTTTTTTTTTTTAATGATATTAAACAAATGTCTACACTGAAAAGATATTCTTCCAAGTTCACCGTAAATAAAGTCATTTTGGGTTGTTTTTCTTAACACCTAAAATCTGTTTACAAAAACTGCAAATGTGTTCTTTCAATTGACTGGCTTAAAACTAAAACCCAAATAACTTCACTACCATAATTAAAATATAGGTGCAATTAAAACATCAAATAACACTAACTTATGGGTCTAGGTTTTAATGTATGTAAACTTATTATATAAATATTTATTTAATTTAAAAATGGCTTTCTGGGCCTGATCTGATAATTTAGTTTGTGCAGTAGTAAAAGAAACGCCACACGTAAAAAACAATACCTAGATATGTAAACTTATTCACAACTTCAATTTAAATTTTCTTTATAATAAAAACAAAAGGTTATCAGGAAGTCTTCCACCTTTCTTGAAAATCATTATTTTTGTTTTCTCTACATTAACTTTTAACTTCCCAATTGTCACAATAATCACTTAATAAATTTGATACAAGTCTGTAATTCAACTGCTGAGTTAGCAAAAATAACAATATCATCAGCATATAAGAGCAAAAAATAATTTAAACATGCTTATATCAAGGCCTTCAACATCACTATATGTATAAAACTATCTTCAAGGTCATTTAACAAACATAGAAAAAAAAGGAAAGGGGATAAACATTCTCCTTGTCTTACACCAAGAGCACATGTGAATTCAACACTTAATTTGTTAAATATTTAACCCTTGATTTCACATTTTCATACATTGACTGAATAATATTCAAAATTTTAACACGTAAATCCTAGTTTTATAAAGCTTATACCACATATTTTCTCTGACTACATAATCGAAATGCTTTGCTAAAATCAACAAATAAACAGAATAATTGTTTTCCTTGATAATGAAATGCAAAATTAAACCATTTAATACAAAAACATTATCTATAGTGCTCATTTCAGACCTAAAACCAGCTTGCGCTTCAATATATACATTATAATATTCAGCCCAACATTTTCAGCCTATTATTTATTACACTTGTAAATAATTTTCCCAAGTTACTCAATAATGTTTATCCCCTGTAGTTTTCAACATCATCTAATTTGCCCTTTTTATGTAAAGGAATTACGTAACCTTCGGACCAGCGCTCCGGAAAATATCCTAAAATCAAAACTTTTATTAATAACAAATAAATATATGGTGCGAGCACGTCTCTGCCAGCAATAAAAAATTCATTAAGTAATAAATCCGGTCCGGCTGAGCGATTATATTTTAATTTCTTAATTGCTGCTATTACCTCGTCCGAAGAAAGTTCAATATTTAGCTCTCAAACATGACCCTTAAAACTCATTGTTTTTATATTTGTTATTAAAGTCTAAAATATCCTCGTCTGGTACAAAAAATATATTTTGCGGATTATTTACAGCTTTAAAATATCTCTCAAAAACTGACAGCGGAATATTTGCATTTCTTATACCGGAAGCTTCCTTAAGCATGTTCCAATAAAGTCGTGCATTTTTTAGCCTGCAATTT